GCAGCCGCCTCTCACTGACAAAACAGGGCTGATGATGATCATGTCTACCTCATAGGGCTGTTGAAAGAAGCAAATGCAATTGCGTGTGCAGAGGCACTTTGGGAACTGCAGAGAGCCAGCCCAGTGAGGTGGTATTATTCCTAGAACAAGATAGTGAGTGAAGGAGAGGGCAGGGAAAGGATAAGAGCTGACATCATCTCTAGGAGCAGAACAGAGTCCAAAAAAACAAACAGGCCTAGGACCACAGCGGTCCGTGCAAGTGGGGGCTTTTTCCTTCACTGCTGTATCCCCAGAGCCTAGCCGAGCGCTTGACAAAGTAGGCACCCAGTAAATACTTTTCTGAATTGCATGACATTGAATCTTCGTGTTCCCAGTGCTTGACGTATATCGGTGCTCAGTAAATGTGTGTTGGACTCATGCACAAATCGGCAGAGACTAAAACCAGAGTGACAGGCTCCTAGCCCAGTTCTCCATCTTTGAAACTAACACCAATTTCCATCACAGACACCCACTGCCCACCCCTGAGATCAGGGGCTCTTAACCTGAGGTCCATGCATCTCCCCAAAAATTAACGTGTAGAATATAGTGTGTGTTTGAAACATATCTTGCTGAATTTAAAAAAAGTCAGATTTCTACCCAGAAAAATACTAAATAAACTCTGCTCTGAAAGATGTACATCTACCAGGCGCCCCGTAAATAGCCATCAGTTGGATGTATCTGGTCCCCAGGGCTGCCAGGTGACCAGTAGTCTTAAAAAAATTGTAAGCCTCCCACTCTCTGAGATCCACATCTAGGGCCCTGTGAGCCTGCAATTTTTCCTACCACCTCCATAATGTGCAAGGCAGTTAACCTATCTTTCATATGCAAAAGTGATGATCACACATTATCCCGGGGACCTGCCTCCGGAGTGGCTGTTCTGCTGCTGGGTGGGTCTCGCAGAGCCACGCATACTCTGTCAATCTCTTACATCCCAGCGTATGCATTTAGATGTGACAGGTGGGAGTCAAAGCCTGAAACCTGAGAATCCTAACTAGGCTTCATGATATCAACTCAGAACTTTGATCTTTTTGAAAAAAATATTTTTCTCACTACAAATACGTGTGTGCATGTGTCTGTGTATGTATGCACACACATACATATTTATTAGAGGAAATGTAGGATATGTAAATAAAATCACCTCTAATTTCACCCTACCCCCAAAGAACCGGTGTTAATACCTGGCTTTAGTCTTCCCATTTACTGTGTACAACATTTATTAAGCATTTACTATGTGCCAAGAGTTCACTGTTCCATGCTGTATGATCTCTAACTCATGTGAACCTCTAATCTCACATCAGGTATTTGCTATCTTTTTACAGACATGTTTATACTTTCTTAATTTTTAAGGCCAGTGAGATTATACTGTTTTGTAACCTTGCCTTTCTTAGTCCATACCATCAGATTTCTTTTACCATGTTATCGAATATTCATTAGCAGAGTCATTTATAATGGCTGCATGATGTTTTATTGCAGACAAATTCCATGCTTCTCAGACTGGGGTGCATGTACCCCTGAGGGCAAAGCCACAGGATAAATGTCACAGATCTTCCTGAAGCAAAATTTGTGATTCAGAGCTTTAGGAGAGGGAAATAAAACACATTATTTTCAAATCAAAACGAGTACAAATATATCATAGTGTAGAATGCAGAACACCCATATGTCTTAATACAGGCCAGATGCGGTGGCTCACACCTGTAATCCCAGCACTTTGGGAGGCTTAGGCAGGCAGATCACCTGAGGTCAGGCGTTCAAGACCAGCCTGGCCCACATGGTGAAACCCCATCTCTATTAAAATTACAAAAATTAGCCAGGTGCAGTGGCTCGTGCCTGTAGTTCCAGCTACTTGGGAGGCTGAGTCAGGAGAATCGCTTGAACCCAGGAGGTGGAAGTTGCAGTGAGCTGAGATCACGCCACTGCACTCCAGCCTGGGTGACAGAGCAAGACTCTTGTCTCAAAAAAAAAAAAAAAATGCAGCCAAGTCCAAGATCATGTTATTTCCCATAGTTCCATATTCCCTCTCCTCTGAGGTTTGCAGAAACATCTAAGAAGTGCTGAATTCTAGTTCAAGCCCTTGTTTTTACAGATAAGGAAACTGAGACCCAGGGAGAAGAAGGGCTTGCCCAAGGTCCAAGTATGTGCTCTGCAGAACCAAGGCACAGAAGCCAGGTAACCCCTGGGTCTGTCCCTTTCCACCATTCCATATTTGGCATCACCTGTCAACTGTGTGTGGGCAGAGACCTTGCCCCTTGAGAAATCAACCCCCTGCTTATCAATAGTAGCACCTCTTGCCTTCCCACGTGATCCTTCTTTTAGCAGCAGCTTTTCCTTTTTCACCTTGCTCCCAGAATCTGAGCTGACAGCTGAGGTGGTCAGGGACTATAACCTCCATGGACAAAGGTAGATGCCCTCCCATGACCCTCTTAGGCTCCATTGGCACTTAGATTTATTGCTTAATGCACTATATTGTAAACATGTCTTTACTGGTCTGTTTTAGCCATGAGACTGGAGCCTTCTGAAGGCAAGAATTATGTGTTAGCATTATAATCTGCCATCTATTGGGTTCTTACTAAATGCTGAACACTGTACTAGGTGTTTCATCTGTAGTATCTAAAATATTTAAAACAGCTGCCGGGCGCAGTGGCTCACGCCTGTAATCCCAGCACTTTGGGAGGCCAAGGTGGGCGGATCACCTGAGGTCAGGTGTTCAAGACCAGCCTGGCCAATATGGTGAAACCCTGTCTCTACTAAAAATACAAAAATTAGCCAGGCGTGGTGGCACACGCCTGCAATCCCAGCTACTCAGGAGGCTGAGGCAGGAGAATTGTTTGAACCCAGGAGGTGGAGTTTGCAGTAAGCTAAGATCACGCCATTGCCCTCCAGCCTGGGCGACCGAGTAAGACTCCGTCTCTCAAAAAATAAATAAATAAATAAATAAATAAATAAATAATATATATATATATATACACACACACACACACAGAGCTTTTCAAAGTATGTATTATCTCCATTTATCAGGCAAAAAAACTGAGTAAAAGAGTGTCATTTGCCCATCATCATTCACTCATTTAGTAAGCATTGATTGTAGCCTTACACACCAGGACTTATGCTACATGCTGTAGACATCAGGATGAACAAAGCTGATACCACTCTGCCCTCATGGAACTTCTTGGTGGGTAGAGGAAGATGATATTCAAAAATTATTTTACAACCCATAGCAAATGTAATGTAGCCTGAAGCCTATCGGACTGCCCTGGATTGAAGCCACCCTCTACCCTTACCAGCTAGGCGACCTTGGGCAGCTCTGTTAACCTCTCTGCACCTCATCTTCCTCTTCTGTAAAATGGGGATAATAGTAGTAGCAGCTCCATAGGGGTGCTGTGAAGAATAAAGAAATTAACCCATGTGAAGCACACAAAGAAGGGCCCCTGCACGTTCCAGGCATATTGCTGCTGCTGCTGCTGCTGCTGATGATGATGATGATATGAAGGAGAGGCGTGGGGTGCTCGTATGTGATACAGCAGGACCTACTTCAGGGGACGTCTGATTGAGGTCTGCAAGATGAATAGGTGTTATCTTGGCAAAGTGTGTGGGCGGTAGGGGAGGGGAGCAGGGTTTTGGAGGGATGTTCCAGGCAAAGGGAATAGCATGTCAAAGCATAGGGGGCGGGTTTACCTGAGGAACTGCAAGGAGTGCAGCTGAAAGGGGTCAGGCTGGGAAGTGGGAACCTGTGCTACAAACATAGCCCCAGGACCGGGTTCCCTGCACCACAGTCTTGATCCAGGCCATGGGAGATGCTCAGTAAATGTTTGTCAAGTGAGCGAGCAGCTCATGGACAAACAGCTGTGTTGGGCCTACATGGTTCTGTTGTCACCCAAGTCCATTGTCCCATATACAGCATGATATGTAGACAGCCCCTTCCCAGCTGTCAAACTGTATACATCCATGTTTTGGTCCCTCTCTTCTTGACAGTAAACTAAATCCTGTGAGTTTGGGTGCAGACCTCCAATATCTGGGACTCATTGAGGTGACCGCAGCTAGAATCCCCATGCTGTAGTCAGGGGCTCAGATCTAAGCCAATGGTTTTCAGACTCTTTAGTAGTAGAAGTCTGCCTTGAAATAATCTTAGCGGAAATCCAGTATATGGTACAGGGACAGGCAGAGCGTCTGCCCTTGAGCAGACATAGGGCCTCAGCCCTTGTGCACCTGAGAAAACACTAGGGCTCTGTAAAGCACAGTTAGAAAAACTAGGGTTGAACCCAAACCCCATCTTCCAGGCGGGGAAACTTAAGACCCAGAGAGGGAGTGACTCTCCGGAGTCAATAGGGACAGACCCAGAACTGGCCCGAGACATCTGGTATCAATTCTGCTACACCAAGGTTTTCCTGCACTTCGCCCTAACCGCCCCCAGCCCCTCTCAGTGTGCAGGGAGTCTTGAGATGGGGTGGGGGCATGTGGCTGTGGTCTTGTCAAGAGTCCGGCCTCCAGCCCCAGTCGGGGCATGGCCCACATGAGACAAAAATCCACCAGGCAGGCGTGGGTGGGTTGCTCAGGGTCATGGCCTGGTTATGCCGTGCCTTTTTTTTTTTTTTTTTTCCTGCTGCTGCTGCTTTTTTAATTGAGTTTGAGGTGGTTGTTTTTTGTTTCCTTAAGAAATGGAAAAGAATGAAGCTGCGTAAATACAACTATATTAACTCCCTGAAAAACCTCCTGCCATTTTAACTCTGTTACTGGAGAAATAAAAGAGAAATAATTTGTCCACCCACACTTAGCTCTTTCTGACGAAGGTAGGTGAATATTGCTTTGCTAATCGAGGGTGACTGCTGGAAGTGGAGCCACGCTGACTGATCCCAGATTGAGAGGCAGCCACAGCCACCCCAAAAGGAACGGCCCGCCCTGGGGTGGCAGAGCCCTGCCTGTGGACAGGGCCAGAGTCATCGGCCCGCATGGCTCATCTTCCACAGGTCTTCCCCAGCCGATAGTGATGGAGGCCCTGGACGAGGCCGAAGGGCTCCAGGACTCGCAGAGAGAGATGCCGCCACCCCCTCCTCCCTCGCCGCCCTCAGATCCAGCTCAGAAGCCACCGCCTCGAGGTGCCGGGAGCCACTCCCTCACTGTCAGGAGCAGCCTGTGCCTGTTTGCTGCCTCACAGTTCCTGGTAAGGATGGCACAGGCCTCACCAGGGCCTGGAGAGAGGTGGGCGGAGGGCCAGCCTCCCGCTTCCTCCCCAGATGGCCCCCTGGAAGGCAGGAGGATGAGCGGCCTCCCTGGTGTTCCTCAGGAGCTCCAAGCCCTCAAGGATGGGATGAGGGGAAGGCTGGAATTCTGAGCTACCGCATCAGCAGCTGAGACCTCACACCCTGCCTCCCTAACCTAAGAATCCGGAACACGGGGCCTCCCCGATCCCTGACCTCCCAGCCCTGCAGGGTTCTCCTGAGAACTCCTGTCTGTGGAGGCCTTTCTGGGAGACTTCCCTTTTGATGTACATATTTGTGAGGTCCTCTCTGGAAAGGGCTTTCTCTTGGTTCCCTTCAGTCAGCTTTTCTCCAGGGAGAGTCCTGAGGCCTCCCCTGGGCACACAGCAGTGGGGCCCTGCTCTCAGCTGCCCAGGCTGGACCTTAGAGGTTCAGGAGCCTCCATGCAGGGCCAGGTTGAGGCTGCAGGTGAGCTCTGCTGGGGTAGCATGGGGGAAGGGGGCTGGCTCCATACTTAGCCTGCTCCCCTGTGCCCCAGCTTGCCTGCGGGGTGCTCTGGTTCTGCGGCTATGGCCACGTCTGGGCACAGAACGCCACAAACCTCGTCTCCTCTTTGCTGACGCTCCTGAAACAGCTGGGACCCACGGTGAGTAAGCTTTGGGGAGTCCTGGGGTAGCGGGGATCTGTTGGGGGCCTCTAGTCCCACCATCCCCAACCTCCGGATGGGCCTTCTCTGAGTTCAGGAGATACTTCCAAGCCCCTGAAGTTCTTCTGCCTGCTCCCCACCCCAGACCTGGGGCGCGATTTTCAGAGTCTTGGTTTTGTCATCATTGCAAGAGCTGAGAACTCTGCCCCCACCACCACCCTGACCTGTTTGTCTGATGTTCCCCAGGCCTGGCTTGACTCTGGGACCTGGGGAGTCCCCAGTCTGCTGCTGGTCTCTCTGTCCATGGGCCTGGTCCTCGTTACCACGCTGGTAAGGTGCCTCCTGAACCCAGCCTCAAGGCTGTCCTCCTCTGACCTTGAGGCCCGGATTTCTACCAGCTCCCATCTGACCTACAGGCTGGACGTTCTGGGTGGGGCAAGGAGGGATGCCTATCTGTTTGCACAAGTGTGCCAGCCTGGGGCTAGAACCTCCTCCTTTCTGAAAATTGGTTTGCAGTGATCTGGGCTAAGGAAAAGGGGTGAGACGGGGAGAAGGCTGGTGTAGGAGCTCTGAAGCCCCACTGAGAAGGCCTGAACCAAGAAACAGAGCTGGGAGAGGGAGGGGTGGGGAGGGAGAGTGGGCATGGAGCCTCCCATTGAGGCTGGGGCAGTGCCTTGTGGACAACTCCCAGGAGAGCAGGGCTGCTCGAGACACACTGAGGGAGTGCAGGGGTGCCAATCCCATTTGCGCTCCAGGAACACGGCGGGCAGCCAGCATGGTCCCAGATCCGTGATGCTGTATACCCCAACCAGGTGTGGCACCTCCTGAGGACACCCCCAGAGCCACCCACCCCACTGCCCCCTGAGGACAGACGCCAGTCAGTGAGCCGCCAGCCCTCCTTCACCTACTCTGAGTGGATGGAGGAGAAAGTTGAGGATGACTTCCTGGACCTGGACCCGGTGCCCGAGACTCCTGTGTTTGATTGTGTGATGGACATCAAGCCTGAGGCCGACCCCGCCTCGCTCACCGTCAAGTCCATGGGTCTGCAGGAGAGGTGGGAGGGGTGGAGGAGGGGTGGGCTCCACGGGCCCTCGAGCTCTTAGCTCCTGATCAGAAGAGTGGATACCTGACTCTGACCCCTGGTGCCCAGGGCAGAGCTGGCCTCATAGCTTAGCCAGTGTAGACACGTGCTCTCCAGGTCATTCATAGAGAACAAAGCGCCCCAAAATGAATGCTGAGAAATACTGTTACTGCACACGCACACATAGGTGTACACATGTTCACACACACTCTCCCACGCTCAAGTAAGTTTGGGTGGTTTTCTTTGCTGCAGGACTTGTCAGAGCCTTTAACATGTTGTGTTCATTGGAAATCAGCAAGGGGGCAGTATGTGGCATTTCCCAAAGTCACTTGACCACAGAACTCTATTTTTTTTAACTTTTATTTTGGATTGAGGGGTACACGTGCAGTGTTGTTACCTGAGCATATTGCATGATGCCGAGGTTTAGGGTACAAATGCTTCCATCACCCAGGTACTGAGCATAGTACCCAGCAGTTAGTTTTCCACCCCTTGCCCGCCTCTCTCCCTCCCTCCTCTAGTAGTCCCCAGTTTCTATTATTGCCGTCTTTATGTCCCTGAGTACCCAGTTAGAACCCTGTTTTTATAGGGTGGCTCATAGTGTTCCACAGAGCACACTCTGAGAAGTGTAGACACCGTCTTTTCAGAGTCTAGGTGGATAAGCCAGATCGCACCACATTTGAGTTACCCATGTAATGTCATGGAACGAACACTGAGTGTGGAGTCAGGAAACCTAGCTTTTTGCTTCAGCTCTGCCACCCCCTTACTGGGAAAGCCTGGACAACTCTTGGCCCTTCATGGGGACTCAGTTTCCCCTTCTGTGTAATGAGGTCCCATCCTGTCCTGTGGTCTGAGACACTGAGTGTAGTAGAGTTTGCCCATTGTAGACATCCTTGCGGCCACCTTGCTCCTGGGACTCCCTCCTTCCTGACAGCTGAGGGTCCTGGCCTCTCCTGGACAATATGTCCTTGACTCACCAGCAGCCTCATCCCAGGACTGCTGGGCCCAGGCCTGCAGTGGGGAGGGTCTGGAGCCATCCTCTCGGGCCCAAGCCCTGCTTCTGTGCTTCAGGCAGGTGTCCCCTCTCTGAGCTTCCTGGGGACCACAGGGCAGAACTGCCTCCAGCGGTGATGGAGGAGAGTCCGGGGTAAGGCCATGTTGGGTTAGCTTTGGATGGAACTTTTAGAACAGGAGCTCCAAACCCCCACTAAGTTAACATCTCCACTGCAGGAGGTAGGAGATAGGGAGTCAGGCCGATGCCTCGGGGCTGAGATTCATGCTGCTTTGACAGGGGCTTTTGTCACACTCCCACTCCTCTTCCTTGATCCCACCCTGTTCCCAGCTGATCTCTCCCTCCCTCGTTTTCCCAGCCCTGAAGACCCCAGCTCATGCCCGCCCCTGTGCCTCTGAGACTCACACTCCCTTTCCTGGTCTTTCCAGGAGGGGCTCCAATGTCTCGCTGACCCTGGACATGTGCACTCCGGGCTGCAACGAGGAGGGCTTTGGCTACCTCATGTCCCCACGTGAGGAGTCCGCCCGCGAGTACCTGCTCAGCGCCTCCCGTGTCCTCCAAGCAGAAGAGCTTCACGAAAAGGCCCTGGACCCTTTCCTGCTGCAGGCGGAATTCTTTGTGAGTTCCCTTGAGCCGGCTACCCCACTGTGTGCAGACCCATGTCAACCATCCACCTACCCAGGTGGTGGAGCGTGGTGCCTGGAACTCGGCATCTGCCGTAGATTAGTACCACTTTATCATCAGCTCTCCCACCGTCTTGGGCAAGCTGCTTTCCCTCTGAGCTTCAGTTTCCTCATCTGGAAAATGGGGATGAAAATAATAGGATTGTTCAAAGGTTAGAGAGACTAGGAACATGTGCAGAGCACCCAGCCAGGTGATGGAGGTACAGTGACAAGGCGAAGTCTTTATTGCCCAGTGCTGTGCTTTGAAAGCCACAGAGAACCTTCGCTTCTAACTCTTCTGTTTTTCCACCTTCCTCCTGCCAAGCATTGTTCTTCTGCCTTTGAAATCTCTCTAGTCGCCTCCCCTCCTTATCACCCCTGGGGCCCTAGCTTAGGTCCTAATCACCTCCACCCTGGCTTTTGCAGCTGCCTCCTATTGGACTTTGAGGGGCTCGATAAATGGCACCCCTGTCTACCTGCCTGAGTGCTCAGCCATTAAAGAGCTAAGGCATAGGAGATCACAGTATCACCTTTGTTGTCAATAAAATACAGGTTGGAAATGAGGCTTAGCAGGGTATAGCAAGAGTGAGCCTCCCGATACTGAGACCCAGAATTAGATGCACTTTCCACCCTCCACAGGGGTGCCGGCATATCTCGGACCTTGCCCCATGGGGGCACCCCTATAATTCTTTCCTGGCAGGAGGGCCCTGAGAGGAGGAGGAAGGAAGGGGCTGAGACTCAAAAGCTCCATTCCTCGACCAAATTCACCGAACAGGTAACTCCTCACTTCTATGAGCAGGAAGAGGCAAGAGACCGAGAATATCGGGGGTGAGTTCCTCCTGGTAGAAGCCAGAGGGTTACAGAAGCAGGCGCCTCCTCCCTCACAGCTCCCTTCCTTTGGCCTCCACCCTGGGCCTGTCTGGACCGGGTAGCTCTCCCCTGTGAGAAGACCTCCATCACCATCTAATCTGCTGCTCCAAGTTCTCCAGAACTTGGTACCACCTGCATACACCATCAGCACACCTCACCTGGTGTGGCCCCAGCCTCCTTTTCCAGCCTTATGCCCCATGCCCCACCCCTGCAGGGATGGTCCGCTTCAAACTGGGCCAGCTCCGCCTGTGCCTTTCTCCTGCCGTGCCTTTGCTCACATCATCACCCACTCCAGATGCCTCTAGAAAGCCTTCCTCGACCACCCCAGCCTCAGCTCCTGCTCTGAGCTCCCACGGCTATCATCTCCCATTCGAGAAAGAATCACTTCCTCTAGCTCATTTCCTGTTCGGTGGGTCATTGTCGAGGAAGGAGCGCGGCCTGAGCACCCACTCCGGGGGCAGTTTTTCTCATGTTGTATTTTTCTTTTGATCATCACAACCCTGGAAAGCATTATGATCCTCATTTTACAAAGCCCATACTTAGTGTGTCCAAAAACAATGAATCAGTGTGAAGCTGGGTGCAGTCAGGGACTAAGCTGGCGGGCAGACTGGAAGGAAATGCAGAGGCAAGAGGCATGGAGAGTCATCCCAGAGGATGTCAGGAAGAGACACACTCAGAGGTGAAGGGTTTTTTTTCGTGGTTTTTTTTTTTTTTTTTTTTGAGACAGTTTCACTCTTGTTGCCCAGGCTGGAGTGCAGTGGCGCAATCTTGTCTCACTACCACCTCCGCCTTCTAGTTCCAAGTGATTCTCCTGCCTCAGCCTCCCTAGTAGCTGGGATTATAGGGGCCTGCCACCATGCCTGGCTAATTTTTGTATTTTTATTAGAGATGGGGTTTCAACATGTTGGCTAGGCTGGTCTCAAACTCCTGACTTCGTGATCCGCCTGCCTCGGCCTCCCAAAGTGCTGAGATTACAGGCATGAGCCGCCACACCCAGGCAGAGGTGAACTTTAAAGGGTGGGAACAACTTGGAGAGATGAGGATCAGGGGAGACCAGTGCCCTCAGGAGGCAGAACGTCACAAGCTCAGACCTAGAGGCAGCACTGAGAACAGCAGATTAACAACAGGGGAGAAACAGGCCTAACTGGAAGTAAAGAGAGGCCAGATTCAAGAAGCCCTCACATGCCAGGAGAGAAGTTCAGACTCAGAGCTCTGGACACAGACAGTGGTTGGGACCTGCAAATACTCCTGGGATCTCAGAAAGAGGCTTCTCTCCTGCTGGAGAATCAGGGAAGGCTTCTCAGAGGAGGCGAGACATGAGATGAGGATGGAGTGGGTGTTACCACAGAGCTAGCAGCGCGAACCCAGGTCCCCGAGATAGGGATGCCCAGGGGAGGAATGCTACCCAGGGAGCATGGAGGAAGGCAGCGATTGGCCAGGTCACTTTTTGTCTTTTTCTTCATTCATCAGCTATTTATTGACTATATATACCAGGCTGGCTCTCCAAAAACAACAGTCATTATAATATTTATTACGCACTCGGCATGTGCCAGGCACTGTTCTGAATGCTTTGTGAGCACTAACTCTCTTAATAGTAAATGTTTGTTGAATGAATGTGTGCACTCAAGCCTGCCCCTGGGCTAGGAGGTGGGGGCACAGCAGCCCCTGGATTCAAACATCTGTGAGGGCCCATAGCTGCTCACACCCTGTGTTCTCCTTCCACAGGAAATCCCCATGAACTTCGTGGATCCCAAAGAGTACGACATCCCTGGGCTGGTGCGGAAGAACCGGTACAAAACCATACTTCCCAGTGAGTACTTGCTGCCCCAGAGGGATGGGGGCAGGCTCAGCTTCACCTGGGGACCCCCTCACCCTGAGGAGGAGCATAAGCCCCCAGCTGGGCCTCCAGGGGTGAGGGGACACTCATCGCTAGAGGAGGTGGGACAGAGGGTTGGGGTGTGCTGGCTGAAGGGAAGCGCCACCCCGGTGAGGCCAGAGGCAAGTTCATTTCCTCACACAGCACTCTCTGGTCCTTTGCCCTGCCTGGCCACGTGTTGTGCTGAGCCCTCTAGAAACCCAGAGAGAAAGGGTGGTAATGACAGCAGCTCCTAGCCACAGTGTGGTAGCCGAAAGGTCACCTTTCATATCCTCTATCTTTTCAGAGTGGGCAGATTTTAAGGAAAGGAAGTTAAGGCTTAGAGAAGTTAAGTGGCTCACCCACAGTCCCACAGCTAGGAATTGCAGAGCTGAATTTCAGACCCGGGCCTCTGTGATCCCAGAGTCAGGCTGTCAGGCTCTCTGTCTACACGGCGTGGAGTGTGGTCGGATTGTAAGCCCTCTAACAGGGACATCCACTGCCACAGGCGAATGAGTGTCTCTGTCAGGGAGTGAGCTCCCTGTCACTTAGTGTATTCAAGTGAGGCGGCATGAGCAGTCCCCTAGAAGGTCTGAAAGGGGTTTTCCTCCTTTGGGGTTAGTTAGACCAGGTGACCTGATGCTCCTCTGTCAGCCCTGGGGTGTCATTTTCAGATAACTTTTATCAAGCTTCGATGAGCCTGCCACCCTTGCCAAATTCTGACCCCAGGCCCTTGTTGAAAGTGAATCCGCATAAACCTGCTCCAGTTCAGTTTGTAGAGTAGCAAGGCTTTTAAAAAGCAGCTTTGCCATCAGCATCTCCAACAACATGTAAGATGTCATGACTTATTTTTAACTTTTAAAATATCGACTTGTAGTTGCTATGGTTACACAGTCTCTAGGTAGTTCCGGTTAAACAAAGGGCCATTTAAGGCCAGGATGCATTATTCAGGGATGCTCACCTCTTCCCTCATCTTGCCCTCCCCCATCCCAGCCCTACCTGGAGGGAGGGACTTGAGTATCCCTAGAACCTTATACTTTGCTGGCCACTCAGAATGGCCACTGGGGGAAGGTGGGAGCAGACCAGGATTCCATGCAGTCCTCACTGCATTCCGAGAGGCTCGAGCTGCCTCCAGCCATGCCCTGAGCCCAATAAAGAATTTTGTCTGTGTCCAGCGAGAATGGACCCTGTGCCTGCAGAGACTGGGTTGGGAGGCAGAGAGCAGGTGAGGCTGAGCAGCGCCGCCTCTCAGATCCAGGACACGCTGAGGTTTGTTCTCTCATTCACTGGGCACACGTTTCCTCAGCTCCTGCCCCAGGAACTGAGGATTTAGTTGTAAATAGGACACAGACTCTGTGCACAAGGAGCTTCCAGCCTAGTGGGGGAGAAAGGTCCATGCACAGTTACAGGCAGAGTGACCAGTAACCCACAGGCAGTGTTGAGAACAAGATGCTGCGAGCAATTTCTCTCCCCTTCTCCACTGTGTGCAAAGCATCAAAACAGTGCTGCCTGGCACATGGTAGACATTCTGCACCTATTTGGGTTGTTTTAATTTTTGTAGAGATGGAGGTCTTGCTCTGTTGACCAGGCTGGTCTCGAACTTCTGGCCTCAAGGCTACCTTCACCTGCTTTGGCCTCCCAAAGTGCTGGGATTATAGGCATGAGCCACCATGCCGGGCTCTGCACCTATTTGAATGAATGAATAATATCTCTCAGATCTACATCCTCTTCTTCAGCCTCACTGCCAAATGATGCTTTTGAGGTTAGGGCTTTCATGTTGCCCAATTCCAGGGGACACCATTTACATAGATTACATTGATTGACATAAGTGCCCCCTGGAGCCGTGCCAGGCTGGACAGCCCTGTGATCCTTGACACTTCTTACTTGGATCATTGCCATAAACATCTAACTGGTCTTCTGGCTCCCAGCTCCCACACTGTCCTCTCCATCTTCTACCATTGCCACCAAAATGATGCAAAACAGAAATCTAATTGTGTCGTTCCCTTCCTTAAATGCCATCATTATTGTCACCCTTTTAATCCTCAGGTTTAAGTCCATCTTTCTTTTTGTTTTTTTTTTAGACAGAGTCTCACTCTGTTGCCCAGGCTGGAGTGCAGTGGCACAGTCTCGGCTCACTGCAACCTCTGCCTCCTGGGTTCAAGCAATTTCCGGCTAATTTTTGTATTTTTAGTAGAAACAGGGTTTGACCATGTTTGGCCAGGCTGGATTCGAACTCCTGACCTCAAGTGATCCACCCACCTCAGCCTCCCAAAGTGCTGGGCTTACAGGCATGAGCCACTATGCCCAGCCTAAATCCAGCTTTCTAAGCCTGGTTTATAAGATCCTTTGTCACCTAGTTCCTCTCCAGCCTCACCTCTCACCACTCCCTACCCTGTGCTGTGCATGTGAATCTGCCAGAACGGCATTGCCTGCAGACAGGGAGATGGGAGATGGCCCACACAGAGCTTCCTGCCCTCCTCTGCTGCAGGTCCCCCAAAAGCCCCCTCCCACTTACCCTCGCTCCTCTCCATCCCTGCCACCCTCTACACCCCCTCTTCACAAGAACTGCCTCCAAATCACCTGCCAAAAACTTAGACAGTGGGGTTGGGCTAAAGAGGCAAAGCTTGTGCCCTTTACCTCCCCAATTTCTCCTACCGGGTTTAGGATCTTTCTTTTTATCCTTTAACTTGTGGAACTTGTAATAATGACAGTAATAACAGCAGCTGATACTTTGTGTTGGTCCTAGTTACTGGTATAAGGACTCTAGTTGTTAAAGTTAACTTCTTTACAAGATAAGCAAGGTCACTGTGGAATGACCATCCCCAGGTTACAGATAAGGCACAGGGAGATGAAGTAAATTGTCCATGTTGACACTGCTAGTAAGTCAGAATCAGGATTTGAACCTAGCCTCTCTGGCTCAGCGGTGTAGACTCTTAATGACTCCCCTCTACTGCCTGTGAGAGCCTCCTAATGTGCACACTGGAAGTCTTTAGTCCAGTCCTCCCTATTACAGGAAGTAAACTGAGTCCTGGACAAGTGGGCTGATGACAAAACTAAACCAGAACCCAGGACTCTGGGCCTCCAGCCAGCTTCCCCCTTAGCCCATACAATCTCAGTCTCGGCCTCTGCAGGCTGACCGAATAGTCAATGCACGGAGGCTCTAGCTGGAACAAAACAAAATCTACTTCAGGAAGAAGAGCAGGGTGGGGGCTGGGCACAGTGGCTCATGCCTATAACCCCAGCGCATTGAGAGGCCGAGGTAGGAGGATCACTTGAGCCAGGAATGGGAGACCAGCCTAGTCAACATAGCAAGACCTCATCTCTACCCAAAAAAAAATAATAATAATTTAGCCAGGTGCAGTGGCACATGGCTGTAGTCCTGCTTACTCAGGAGGTTGAAGCAGAAGGATCACTTGGGCCCAGGAGTTAGAGGCGGCAGCGAGCCATGATCGTGCCACTGCACTCCAGCCTGAGTGACAGAGAGAGCCCCTTTTACTATGGGATTTGACATGTGAATAAATTGAAAGGAAAAAAAACCCTTTTTGACATGTGCACATGAGGCTAAGACCCTCCAGGCTTATTTCAGATAGGGGAGACTATTGTTTTCATCTTAATAGCCTCCCTCAACTTTCTATTCCCACATCTGAACAGCCCTTTATACTTATAAAGCACTTTACCGTTTATACAGAACTTTCACTTCTCTTTTCTCATTCGTCTTCCCAGCAGCCCAAGGAAGTAGACATCTTTGCCTCCATTTGACAGATAGGAAAACTGGGGCTTAGAAAGGCTATGTGCTTTACAAGGCTACACAGCAAGTCAATGACAGTGTGTACTCAAGCTAGCTGTCTCTTGCTGTCCAAGATCTGTACAGGAATTTCCCTAGGTAATTCTATTGTTGACTTAGCTGTCTCCTCTCCAGAAGCTAAGACGCAGTGAGTATAGGGCAACTTAAGGGGCACAGGCTAAGGATAGAGACAGAGGTGGAGACCCGGGGACACCTCTCTGTCTCCACCCTCCTCCTCATCCTGAGTCCTCGCCTGCAAAATGAACCATGAATGGGTGAATGTTTTGCTGCTGGGCAAGGAAAGGAAGAACTGCTAAGGTCACAGAAGAAATATGGGTATCTTGGAATAGGCCAGAGAAGGTGGGCCCTGCCCCAGAGGGCCCAGCTTCCAGCCTTACTTGTCTCCTACCACCCCAGACCCTCACAGCAGAGTGTGTCTGACCTCACCAGACCCTGACGACCCCCTGAGTTCCTACATCAATGCCAACTACATCCGGGTACGTATTCCCACCCTGACAGCCTCTTGCTGAAGGGGAGGCTTGAGTCGATGGGATCCATCCTCCAGCCTTGGCCCTACACCAGTCTGACTCCTGCCAACTTCTGGGAAGAGCCTGAGTGTGGGGATGGGGTCCTGGGAGCACTGCCTCTGACCCTGACAGCCTGGACTTGGCTGGCCGCAGGGCTACGGTGGGGAGGAGAAGGTGTACATCGCCACTCAGGGACCCATCGTCAGCACGGTCGCCGACTTCTGGCGCATGGTGTGGCAGGAGCACACGCCCATCATTGTCATGATCACCAACATCGAGGAGATGAACGAGGTAGGGACCCCGTCCCCATTCCGAGTGCCTGCTACGTTGCGCCCTACACTAAGTGTCTTGTTCTCAGATTAATCTTTATGACAATCTCACAAGGTTGGCGGTGTTCACCCTGCTGCCAAGATGAGGAGATGCGAGGCTTGGTGAGGTTAAGTCGTTTGCCCCGGCCTCACACATAGAGGCATGCCTGGAGGTGGTCTTTCCACTTCCGATGGCTGTGACCTCAAACACAGCACTCTGCTGCCTCCCAGCCTGCCGGGACAGATGTTGGCTACTCCTGTACTCCTGGCCCATTTAACTGAATCTCCATGAAAGTCCTTCAGATGGTAGCACTTCTGTTTTCCAGAGGAATAAACGGAGGCTCAGGAAGGGGAAGTAGCTTATAGAGTTTGCAGCTGAGATTTGAACCCAACACTCTGTAGCAGCAACCCTGTTGCCCTTGTGTATCTCTCCGCTGGCCCTGGAGAGTGTTGGGGAGAGTGTGGGAAGGGACCAGGATTGTATGGCAGCCTGATCTGGGCCCCTGCAGAAATGCACCGAGTATTGGCCAGAGGAGCAGGTGGTGTACGACGATGTTGAGATCACTGTGCAGAAAGTCATTCACACGGAGGATTACCGGCTGCGACTCATCTCCCTCAAGGTGAGGCCTGGGGCAGGGCTGGGCGAAGCTGAGGATGAATGTAGGGGCTTAACTGGGGACTCCACAGAGAACAGGTCCCCAAAGTCCACTGTAACTGACCTAAAAGCCAGTGTCACTCCCAGATTTTCTGATAACTATGGATGAGTGAGAGGTGAAGGACTTGGGGGCCAGAGGTAGAATCAAACCCCTTGCATTTCCCAGTCCTCAGTTGTATTTCGGGCTGTTGGGCTCCTCTCTCTTTCTACTCTGTCATTCATAATGCCTTCTAGCTATGCTTCAAATGTACCCAAGGCCAGGACTGTCCGGATGAGGGGACTTCAGCAGCCTCCAGCACTGTCTTTATAATTGAGGGTTCATCATGACTTTGAGATCCTCCCTAGAAACATCTCTTCACCTGGGATGCTGGGCTTCTGGCCTGTAGTGCCCAATCTGTCCACAAGAGGGCAGGCACTCTTTGCTGCTTTGGGGTTGTATAGGGAGGCTGTGGTTACAGAAAACAGCAAGAAAAAGGAAGACACACAAAATATGAGCAATACAAAACAGCCCAGAAGAGTGGGGGAAGGTATCCTCCCACCCTGAAGTTGTGCTTCTTCCAGGATCAGCATAATAGAGGAGACTGTTCCTTTGAAATCGGGATTAGTGGATTCTGCTTGTGAGAAATAAGACCCATGTTTAGGGAAGGCTGGAAGAGGCGAGCCAGGCACCAGGAAGCTGATGCCCTATCCAGGAGGAGCCAAGGAGGTTCATTGATGCTGACAGCCACAGGGGTTACTGAGCACAATACCGGAGACTTGGCCCTCTGAGCTGCTCCCTCTCCCACTGGATAGGGGCTAGGTAGGGTGTCGAAGCATCTCAGCCCCCAAGAGCAGTGCCCCCCTCCCCAAGCAGCTCTAAGATCCAGGTCTTGTTGGAGGGCATGAAGGGCCAGGAAGTCAAGAACAGAGGTAGTGGTTGCTGTCACAGCCAGGTAACCCAGGACCTGAGCAAATGGCTTCCTGAGTAGAAATTCCACAGAAAGACAGGCTGAGATGAGGCAGGGCTGCTCACCTTCTCAATGCCATGGAGATGATGAGGGAAAAAACGGGTCTTCTTGGAGTTTGAGGGAATTTACTTTTGTCCATAAGACATTACAAATACCTGGCCTGAGCTTGGTTCTGGGTTGGGTACTGTGAACACAGAGCTTCTCAAAGCTTGGACTCTTTCCTCGAGAAGCATGTATAAGATGGTCAGTACTGAGCTAGAGATAGGTATATAGAATATAGGATATGTATATCATATGTTAAATTGGATGAATATAGGATCTATATCATATGTGTATATATAAAATATATATAATATAAATATATGAAATACATAATATATATAAAATATATATATATATAGGGGTGTGTGTGTGTGTATATATGTATAAAAGAAGGACACTCTGTCAGCTAATGTGCTCAGGGAGGGCCTCCTGTAAGTGGTGGTGCCGAATGGGGTCTTGAAGGATAAGTAAGAGTTGACCGGGGCAAACAAGTCAGGAGAGCATTCCCAGTGAGAAAAAAATAAAACAAAGGACATGGAAGATGGAACACTTGTGTGCACATGTGTTTGCATGTGCTGCTGAGATTTTACCTACAAACCTTTCGGAGTGTGGGAGCATTGAGTACAAGTACACAGGAGCAGGAGGTGTGTCTGGAAGGGCAGGCCCTGTAGCAGTTGTCTTCCTAGCCAGGCGAAGGACTGAGAAGAGTAGGTCTTATTCTGAGAGCAGTGAGAGACATTGAAGGATGTTGTGGTCTGCTCAGGCTGCTATAACAAAATACCATAGACCAGGGAGCTTGTAAGCAACAGGTTTATTTTTCACAGTTCTGGAGGCTGGGAAGTCCAAGATCAAGGCACCATGACCCTGGTGAGGACCCACTTCCAGGGTCATGTCCTCACATGGCAGAAGGAGTGCAAGATCATTGAGGCCCCTTTTGTAAGAGCACTGATCCCATTTGTGAGGGCTCCGTTCTCATGACTTAATCACCTCAGAGGCCTTCCCTTCAAATACCACCATATTGGGGTTTGGTTACAACATGTGAACTTAGGGGGACACACACATTCAGTCCAAAGCCATGCGTTTGCAGCAGGAGAGCAGCATGTCCAGAAGTGTGTTGTACACAGACTATTTTGACTCTGTGGATCTGAGACAGTTGGGAATGAGGCAGAAATCTCCCACACTCAAGCAATGATAAAGGTCAAGGTGGCAGTGAAGTGGGGAGTGTGAAGAGGTGGTAAAACTTACAGCACCAATTGCAGCACTAAGATAGAGGTGAGTCACGCAGGCGAGGCAAAGCAAGAGAAGGAGAAGAGTCCTGGGGCTGGGTTATGTGACAAAGGGATGACTGGGGGACCATTTGTTAAGATAAGGAGCCCCGGAGACACTAATAAATTGGAGAAGGGGCTCTTGGCCCCTCTTGAACGATCCTGAAGTCGTTGGGGCAGGACCAAAGACAAGATCCACGCCAACACCACTGACCAACCCCCAAAACCGAGCTGGCTTTGGGTCTCTGTCTGGTGCCACTGGGCAATATGGCCTAGATGGAAGGGTTAAGGGGTTCCACTCTCTGTGTGCTTCCTGTGTTCTTCTTCCTCCCATCCCATCTCTATCTCTGGGCTGGTTTGTGAGCTGAAGGAGTTCACACATACCCGGGGTGGGCCTCTGTCTCCTCGACAGAGTGGGACTGAGGAGCGAGGCCTGAAGCATTACTGGTTCACATCCTGGCCCGACCAGAAGACCCCAGACCGGGCCCCCCCACTCCTGCACCTGGTGCGGGAGGTGGAGGAGGCAACCCAGCAGGAGGGGCCCCACTGTGCCCCCATCATCGTCCACTGCAGGTGGGTCCTCCCAGCCAGCCACTGGAGCGGGGCAGCCCCCCACCTGCTGGGCTGCCCTGCCCCTCACCCCACCGGTCCCCTCGGCCCTCAGTGCAGGGATTGGGAGGACCGGCTGCTTCATTGCCACCAGCATCTGCTGCCAGCAGCTGCGGCAGGAGGGTGTGGTGGACATCCTGAAGACCACGTGCCAGCTCCGTCAGGACAGGTCAGCCCATGGGTGGGGGCTGGGCACACAGGGGAGCTAGAGCCTCGAGGGGGTAGAGGGAGAGACCCACAGGTGCATTGGGGGGCGAGGGGCAGATGGAAAACACTGGCATGGACTGATGGGCAAACAAGGAGTAGCGAGAACAGCTGGGTAGAGAGGCAGGATCCAGACGGTGGGGGGCCGGATGAAGAGGGAAGAAAAGCAGAGCTGCTGGACAAAAGGACAGAGGCTGAGAGGCTGAAAGCGGTAGGACATGTCATCTGTGTCCCTGATAGGAAGGGGCAGAGGGTAATGGTTGGCAAGGGTTGGTCTCTCCGAGATGCACAAGGACAAGGCCTGGCAAGTGATGGCTACTCTGTGGCTTTTGAGGCACCCTCCCACAGCCCATCCTTCCATGACCCTGCCCCCACTGTGCATCTCTGCCGGGCAGGGGCGGCATGATCCAGACATGCGAGCAGTACCAGTTTGTGCACCACGTCATGAGCCTCTACGAAAAGCAGCTGTCCCACCAGTCCCCAGAATGACTGCGCTTCTCCTGCAAGGTTGTCTGGGCACTGCCCAGCCTGAGTCTCGGCCCTCACCCAGGGCCCCGCCTTGGGTCCTGGGCCTGCTCCCCGCTTCCTCCCCTTCAGTCAGCTCCCTCTGTCCTCTCTGTCAGCCTGGCCTGGCCCCTACCCTCCAGCATTGCTCTTCCTACTGTACATATTGAGGAGTGGGGGCAGGGTCGGGGAGGGACATGCCAGGCCGGGCCTGGGGCCCCAGGGCCTGATCCACACCACACAGACCCCGGGCCCCAGTTTTTAACGATGGTCCCATCAGTACCTGATCCAGAACGTTTCCGTGCCACACTCTGTGTCCTGCTGCGGTGTGTTCTGTCTGTCCGTCCATCTCTGCTGTCTGTACCGGACACTGTGTCTCCTCGGCCAGGAAGGGGTGATGAGCTCCAGCCCCTAAGCAACCTGGGCGGACTTGCCTGCCTTGGCCTCACCCGCACTTCTCCCAAAAGGCAGATGACTGGGAGTTAGGCATGGGGAGCTCCGGAGGGCTACCAGAGTTCCAGCTGAGGGAGAGGTCTCTAGGTTGGAGTGGGCATCACAGCCAGGGTGGCCTCTGGGTGTCAGATGCCCTCAGGAGGGTGCCCAGCCTGTGAGGCACTGGCGAGGAAGGGGGCAGATGGGGCGTGGAGAACCCAGAGGATCTGGGCCCTGTTGGGGAGGGGAGGGGAGCTCAAGGTTTGGGTGGGGACTCAGCCCCAGATCTATGTGAGACATTTTTCGTGTCACTGTGGGAAAGCCTTCCCAGAAGTCTCACTGCGTGTCGCTCTGCGTGTGTTCCCATGTCCATGCGTGTGTTGAGAGCCCACCAGGAGGGCATGCATGACTCTGGCAACGTGTGTTATCTTGGAGCCACGTGTTTTTATTGCTGACTTTAAATATTTATCCCACGGCAGACAGAGACATTTGGTGTCTTTTTATAATTCGCTCGTGGTCATTGAATAGAGCAATAAACGGAGCATTTTGAGCAAAACTAACCACCTGGGTCTGTGTGATTTGCCTCTCCCCTCTACTGCCTGCCTTCATGTACCTGGGTCTTTGTGCCCCTCCCCAGCATGAGCACACAGAGAGCTTGGCCTTTCTGCTCACTGGAGCCCCTTGTGGAGACTGGGAGTTTGGAACGAGTCCAAATTTGTAAAGCCAAACTGGGAACATTCTGCAGGATTCTCACACAGCCTCAGCCCTGGCCCTGACAGATGCTCTGGGCCAGGTGTGGAGCCTCAAGGACAGGTGTGGAAGGCTTCCAAGGAAGGCACAGTGGCTGGCAGTTCACCAATTCCAACAGACGTGCCAGAGAAGCCAAGGCTAGAGCAAGTAGACATTCAGGTCGCACCCAGGCCCCTTCCTGTTGGCCAAACACTTATCCCTTGTGGGCTCCACAGGTCCCAACAGCAGCTGCAGCCCAGTAATTTCCCTTGTAAGGCCTGGGCTCAGAGTAGCTTCTCCCAAGGGGCCCAGGGAATCTGCATGTGGACTGAGATCCTGAGCCATCCTGGACACTCCTGCTCTATTCTTGTCCCCTGCCCCCCTGGGATGGAGCAAAAGTAGCCATGATGCCACTGCTGGCAGGTGGGGGTCACCCCAGGGCAGAAGGAGGGGTCCAGAGCAAGGGTGCTGACCAACAAGTCCTTACAAGATGCCAGAACCTTGGGTGGGATCCAGGGTCCAGGCATGTGGAGTGTGCTACAGATGATGAGAAAATCTGTCCAGGGTGGGCTGGACACAGTGGCTCACACCTATAATCCCAGCACTTTGGAAGGCTGAGGGAGGCAGATCATGAGGTCAGGAGTTGAGATCAGCCTGACCAACATGGTGAAACCCCATCTCTACTAAAAATACAAATATTAGCCAGGCATATGGTGGTACATGCCTGTAATCCTAGCTACTCAGGAGGCTGAGGCAGGAGAATTGCTTGAACCTGGGAGGCGGAGGTTGCAGTGAGCCGAGATTGCGCCACTGCATCCAGCCTGGGTGACAGAGAGAGACTCCATCTCAAAAGAAAAAAAAGAAAACAACAGGTGGCTGAAGCAGCGCAGATGGAGGTCCTTGAGAAGAGGTGGCCATACTCTCCAGTCACCCTCAAGAGTAGAGACCTCCCCACAACCCCCAGAGGATGGGCCCTCCTACTCTTCTACCCAGATTAGGGAGATTGGGCTGTTGAAGTGGGAAGAAGGAGAGCTAACATTTCCCTGTCCTTCCCCAGGGTGGCCTTGTAAAGATACTCAGGCTGTGTATGAACCACACATAGGAGTGCAACATGAATGGCACCCCCTGGATTTGTGTAGCAAAGCAGCAGATCCCAGAGGCCCTCCCCAGTTCACCCCGTCCCAGTCCCTGAAAAATACAGACCTGTTGCTTTGCTCCCTGAGCCCTGCTGGACTATGCATGCACATGTACCTGAGTGTGTGCCCATGGACACACACTATCCTGAGCCCCTCCGCTCAGAGAGGTCCCCAGCAGCAGTGAGAGCCAAAACCTATACCACAAGGGAACAGAAAAAGTATCCCTGGACTGCCACCCTCAGCCTCCTTCCTGCCTGGCCTTCAGTGTTTCCCCCAGCCTGGATCCAGCTTTGCTTCCCACCTCCCTTCTCCACTGCCCTCCCTCTTCCCCCCTCCCCCCACAACCAAGCAGTGTGCCATCTAGCTGAGACAGCTGCAGAGCCTGAGTAAGGAATCACCCCCAGGGGGCCAGACATTTAAGGAACAGATGACACTGGTAGCCTCACTGTTGGGGCAAAGGAAGAAGGAGACGGGCCACCGTACAGTCCAGGCACTAGCTGAGCCTCCAAAGCCGTGGACGCAGCATTCGAATTTTGGGAGGGACTGGTCAGTGCTGAAGGTAAGTCTCCCCTCCTCCCTCAGGAAGGGGACAAAGCTGACCACCTTCTGAGCCCAGAGGGGACTATAGGGTAGAGAGCAGGAATGGGGACAGGGGAATAGTCTCAGAACCCAAAGGTAGAAGCAGCCCAGGCAGAGAGATATTAGGGGGTGGAGGGAGGAAACAGAGTTTAACCCCTAACTACCTGGTTTAAAGAAGGCTTTGGAGCCCTCTGGGACACCACCAGACTGGAGTCAAGAGCTAGGAGTCTAGTCTGAGTGACCTTAGACAGGGTCATTTCTTTCAGACATCAGATTCCTCATATACAAAATAGGGCTTTAAAAACTGCAATGCTGGGCCAGGCGTGGTGGCTCACACCTGTAATCCTAGCACTTTGAGAGGCTGAGGTGGGCGGATCACGAGGTCAGGAATTGGAGACCAGCCTGGCCAACATAGTGAAACCCCATCTGTACTAAAAATACAAAAATTAGCCAGGCATAGTGGTGCGTGCCTGTAGTCCCAGCTACTTGGGAGGCTGAGGCAGGAGAATTGCTTGAACCCGGGAGGCGGAGGTTGTGGTTAGCCAAGGTCGCGCCACTGCACTCCAGCCTGGGCAACAGAGCAAGACTTCATCTCAAAAAAAAAAAAACACACAAAAAAACTGCAATGCTGGCCAGACACTGTGACTCACACCTGTAATCCTAGCCCTTTGGGAGGCCAAGGCAGGTGGATCAATTGAGGTCAGGAGTTCAAGACCAGCCTGGCCAACAAGGTGAAACTCTGTCTCTACTGAAAATACAAAAATTAGCTGGGCATGGTGGCATACACCTGTAATCCCAGCTGCTGGGGAGGCTGAGGCCGGAGAATCGCTTGAATTTGGGAGGAGGAGGTTGCAGTGAGCCGAGATCGCACAAAAAAAACCCGCAATGCTGGTTAAATACAACATGGAGGGACATCCATTCATTGAGATAACATGGTACTCTGAATAGGAATGAGGAAACTCTATCATCTGGCATGGAAAAAATCTCCAAGACATATTAAATGAAAAAAGAAAGGGTCAGAATACTGTGTATAATGGGCTACCTAAAAAAAAGGAAGATGACAAGAATATATGAGTTTTCCTATTTGCATGATGGAGGTCTAGAAGGAGCCTAGAGACGGGCTACCTATTGCAATGGGGAAGGTTGTAAGATAGACAGACACAGGAGTGGGTGGGAGCCTCTCCATATGGATTTTTATATTGTTTTATTCTTTATGTGATTGAATTACCAGTTCAAAGAAAAATGTAAGAAAAACTAAACCTTTGCCTTTACCATGTCGCAAACACAAGCAGAACTGTAGCAACGTTTTGTCATCTGTTTTAGCATCCAGGTTCCCCAGGGCCCAGGAATAAGAGCCACAGC